ACTCCTGGACTCAAGCAATCTGCCTGCCTTGGCCTCCCGAAGTGCTGGGATTACAGGTGTGAACCACCATGCCTGGTTTTTTATTATTATTATTATTTTGAGATAAGATCTCACTCTGTTGCCCAGGCTAGAGTGCGGTGACACAAACATAGCTCACTTTAGCCTCAACCTCCTGGGCTCAAGCAATCCTCCTGCCTCAGCCTCCCGGGTAGCAAGGATCACAGGCATGTGCCACCATGCCTGGCTAATTTTTTTTTTTTTTTTGTAGAAATGGTGTCTCATTTTGTTGCCCAGGCTGAGCAGGCTGAGCTTGAACTCCTGGGCTCAAGTGATCCTCTTGCCTTGACCTCACAAAGTCTTGGGATTATAGGCATGAGCCACTGTGCCTGACCTTCCTGGTTGGTTTAATTACTTGTTTTTTGAGACATGACATGACTCTTGTCCTATAAGTCAAAACTATGTGAAACCGTATACTCAGAGAAGGATCACTCTCTCTCATTCCTACTGACAAGTTTCTACCCTCTTTCCACATCCCCTGTAATTAACCAGTCCCTTTGGATGTTTTGCCATTGTTCCTGTATTGTGCACAAGTGACCAGATACATATATATTTCCTTATATTCTCCTCTTTCTTACATAGGGTAGCATAGTTGAAGGTAGATACTTTTTGCACCTAACTTTCTTCACTTAACAGTACATCCAGGAAATCATTGCAAATCAGTTCTTAGAGGCTGTCTTCATTCTTTTATATAGCTACATGGTACTCCATGGTGTGGATGTCCCATAATTTGTTCAACCACTCTCCTATGTACGAGCATTTAGGTTGTTTTCAGTATTTTGCAATTACAAGTTGTGCTGCAATTAATGCTAGACGTACGCTTATTCCCAGAAGTGAGATTGCTGGCTCAAATGGTGAGTAAATAGCAAGTTTTATTAGGTATTGCCAGATTCTTCAGAAGGGTTGTGTGGGGTGTGTTCCCCCAGCAATACAGGAGAACAACTGTTTCCTCATAGCTTCACCAACAAAATGTATTGTCATATTTTTATGTTTTTTAATTTTTTGCCAGTCTGATAGATGAGAAGTGATATCTCAGTCTTTTCTTTTTTTTTTAAGTTGAACTATTTATTCCCTTTCAAGTATACATCTGAGAGCATACAATGTATTTAATCTCTACCTTCATTTTACCACTGAAGAGCAGACCCAACCTTTGTTCATATAGACAATTTGATCTTACATAAGCTTATCAAAATTAACACTGCATTTCTCACCAGGAAACAATTTGCTGGGCACATATTCACGGGTAGGTAGGCAGACAAAGACAGTTTCAAGAGCAGCCCCTAAGGCGAACCCCAGCATATCTATACCATAGTAAGATACCACTATCAATCTATATAAGCTTCCTTAAGACAATGCCTATGTGAAAAGAATGTAGGTATCTGTGCTTGGTGGAGTTGTGTGCTCTCCGAAAGTTAAGCAGGCGGGAAGCCAAAAATATAAACTGGGACTGACAACACAAGAAAGATTCTTTCACTGAGGTGGTTAAGTAGCCCTGAAAAGATACTTTGGAGTCAAGCAGCCGGGACTCCCTTGGAGCCGGTGTACTTGGTGACCGCCTTGGTGCCCTCAGACAAGGCGTGCTTGGGCCAGCTCGCCGGGCAGCAGCAGGCGCAGGGCCGTCTGGCTCTCGCGGGACGTGAGGGTGGAGCGCTTGTTGCAGTGCGCCAGGCGGGACGCCTCTCCCGCGATGCGCTCCAAGACGTCATTGGCGAAGGAGTTCATGATGCCCATGGCCTTGGACGAGATGCCGGTGTCGGGGTGGACCTGCTTCAGCACCTTGTACATGCAGATGGAGTAGCTCTCCTTGCGGCTGCGCTTGCGCTTCTTGCCGTCTTTCTTCTGGGCTTTGGTGAGGGCTTTCTTGGCGCCCTTCTTGGGAGCCGGCGCGGACTTGGCAGGTTCAGGCATGGCCAGACCCAAGACCGACACTTTCCCCCCGAGAACGCAAGCAGAACCATAGTGTCGGGGTCTACCGGAAACGACTGTGCACTTCCAGAGGCCATGCGCATGACGCTGCGTTGTGGTTCGCGAGTTTTTTCCCTCAGTCTTGTTTTAACTTACGGATTTCTAATTACAAGTGGATTTAACATTTTCTCATATGTTTGAGGGCCATTCTTTTTTTTATTTTTTTATTTTATTTTATTTTTTGAGATGGAGTCTCGCTCTGTCGCCCAGGCTGGAGTGCAGTGGTGCCACCTTGGCTCAGTGCAGCCTCTGCCTCCTGGGTTCAAGCAGTTCTCTGCCTCAGCCTCCCAAGCAGCCGGGATTACAGGCGCCTTTCATCACACCTGGCTAATTTTTGTGTTTTTAGCAGGGACAGGGTTTCACCATCTTGGCCAGGCTGGTCTCGAACTCCTGACCTCGTGATCCGCCCTCGTTGTCCTCCCAAAGTGCTGGGATTACAGGCATGAGCCACCGCTCCCAGCTGAGGGCCATTCTTTATATCTTTTTTCGTGAATTGTGTATTCAATTCTTTTTCCCATTTTTCTGCTGTGTTTTAGTTCTGTGTCCCTCAATTTTCAAAGGTTCTATTAGAGGCATTCATCCTTTACTTGTAATATATATTGGAATATTTTCTTCTAGTATGTCAGCTGGGTTTTTTTTGTTTGTTTTGGGACGGGGTCTTGCTATGTTCTCCAGGCTGAGCTTGAACTCCTGGGCTCAAGTGATCCTTCCATCTCGGCCTCCTGAGTAGCTGGAACTACAGGCATGTACCACTATGCTTGACTTGTCTATTATTTTTTACTTTATCTTGTGCCCATCTTTTATGATCCAGCTCAATTACTGGACTTAGGTGAACACCTTAAACATCCTGGCTTAGAAGTCTCTTCTCCCTTCTTTGAAGTTCCAGGGCACTTAAAATTTACATTTCAAAGTAGTTGGTGTCTTTTTATGGGACACATTGTATTTCTCCTGTGTTTTACTTATTTATAGTCCTAGGAGACTCAAACTCTTTAAGGACAAGATTGGTGTCTTTTCTTTCTAGTCTCATAGTACTCAGTAGATGGTCTTAAACTTATCAGATACTTACTAAGTTAACAAATAAGACCAGAAATACAGTTTTTGACCAGTAGCAGAAGAGCTACCCTGCTCTTCACCTGAAGAAATACATGTGTGCGTGTGTGTGTGTGTGTGTGTGTGCATGCTGTGTTCAGCCATGTAAAGGAGGTAGGAGGTGGGGACTCCACAGCAGAAGCTGCTCCAACCCCTCCTCTCAATATATCTCAATTATTTATTTATTTATTTTTTGAGACAGAGTGTCACTCTGTCGCCCAGGCTGGAGTGCCGTGACAGGATCTTGGCTCATTGAAATGTCCACCTCCCAGGTTCAAGTGATTCTCCTGCCTCAGCCTCCTGAGTAGCTGGGATTACAGGCACCCGCCATCACACCCAGCTAATTTTTTGTATTTTCAGTAGAGACAGGGGTTCACCATGTTGGCCAGGCTGGTCTCGAACTTCTGACCTCAAGCGATCCGCCCGCTTCAACCTCCCAAAGTGCTGGAATTACAGGCGTGAGCCATGGCGCCCGGCCTAATATATCTCAATTATTTAAAGCAGGCAAGAAGTGTGGTGGTGGGTGTGCCTATGGGGACATCTGCCCAGAAAATTTGGTTTTTAAATTTCCTTTAACACCGATATCAATTTACCATTGTTTTATACATTTTAATTTATATACCAACAATCACAAAAATATTTACCTATATATTATGGATTTTATAACTACGGTCTGAACATTAGTTTGCTAGGGGTGATACGACAAACTACCACAGATTGGGCAACTTAAACCAACAGAAATATATTGTCTCACAATTCTGGAGGCTAGAAGTCCAAAATTAAAATGTCAGTAGGGTTGGTTCCTTCTAAGGGCAGTGAGCAAGAATCTATTCCAGACCTCTCTCCTGGGCTTGAAGATGGCTGTCTTACTGTTCACATGGTGTTCTTACTATCTGTGTATCTGCCTTCAAATCTCCTCTTCTTTTTTTTTTGAGACAGAGTCTCACTCTGTTGCCCAGTCTGGAGTGCAATGGTGTGATCTCAGCTCGCTGCAACCTCTGCCTCCCGTGTTCAAGCCGTTCTCCTACCTCAGCCTCCCAAGGAGCTGGGATTACAGGCGCCCGCCACCACACCCGGCTAATTTTTTGTATTTTTAGTAGACATGGGGTTTCACCATGGTGGCCAGGCTGGTCTCGAATTCCTGACTTCAAGTGATCTGCCTGCCTCGGCGTTCTTTTTTTTTTTTTTTGAGACTGAGTCTCGCTCTGTGGCCCAGGCTGGAGTGCAGTAGCGCGATCTCGGCTCACTGCAAGCTCTGCCTCCCAGGTTTATGCCATTCTCCTGCCTCAGCCTCCCAAGTAGCTGGGACTACAGGCGCCCGCCACCTCGCCCGGCTAGTTTTTTTCGTATTTTTTCATATTTTTTAGTAGAGACGGGGTTTCACCGTGTTAGCCAGGATGGTCTCGATCTCCTGACCTCGTGATCCGCCTGTCTCGGCTTCCCAAAGTGCTGGGATTACAGGTTTGAGCCACCATGCCCAGCCCCTGCCTCCTTTTCTTTTAAGGACACCAGTCATACTGGATTTAGGCTCGCTGTAATGACGCATTTTAACTTGATTACCACTGTGAAGACCATCTCCAAACAAAGTTGCATTCTGAGATACTGAGAGGTGGGACTTCAACATATGAATTTGCAGAGGTAGGGGGACACCCACTATGTCAGTCTGTACAACATTTTAGAAATGCAGCCCAAAGTTATTTATGTTTTCTTTAGAGAATTGTAATTTATAGGACCTTCTGTTGGCAACGTGTTCTCAGTAGGTTCCAGCTTGTGTGGGTGTTGTGTGCAGTGTGTCAGCATGAATGTATTTGATAAAGTTTTGATGTGAAGAAAGGGAGGCCTTAGACCTGCAATTTTCCTGAATTCACTTTTTTCTGTCTACAATGTAGGTGTCAGAATCCCCAGAAGACCTCGGGTGTGCATTGAGACCCCAGAGCGCAGGGGCAGTGTACGAAGCCGCCACGGTGGAAGTGGATGTATCTGCTTCCATCACATTGCAAGTGCTGGTCGACACCCCAGGGAACATTTCCTGTCTCTGGGTCTTTAAGCACAGCTCCCTGAATTGTCAGCCACATTTTGATGTACAAAATAGGTAAGTGGAGGAATACCTTCTTGACATAAAATGTGGTTCATTTGGAATTTTGTTTCAAGTTTCTGTTCATGATTATTGTAAATCTTTTTTGTTTTTGTTTTTGTTTTTGAGTCAGGGTCTCTCTCTGTCACCCAGGCTGGAGTACAGTGGCACAATCTTGGCTCACTGTAGCCACGACCTTCCAAGCTCAAGTAATCCCCCCACCCCAGTCCTCCCAAATAGCTGGAACTACACGTGCGTGCCACCACACCTAGCTAATTTTTAAAATTTTCTTCTAGACACCATGGTGTTTCACCATGTTGCCAAGGCTGGTCTTGAGCTCCTGGGCTTAAGCAATCCACCCACCTCAGCGTTCGAAAGTACCAGGATTACACGTGTGAGCCACTGCGCCTGGCCTCAGCCTGTTTTTTGTAACTCTTATCTTCAGTGAAATAACAAGCTAAAAATATAGTTAGGGCATCGATACATGACATTATATATCTGTCAAATTTCCTAGGATGTATAACACAAAAAATGAACCCTAATGCAAACTATGAACTTTATTTTATTTGAGTTTTGAGACGGAATCTCGCTCTCTCACCCAGGCTGGAGTGCAGTGGCCTGATCTTGGCTCACTGAAACTTCTGTTTTTCCCAGGTTCAAGTAATTCTCCTGTCTTAACTTCCTGAATAGCGGGGATCACAGGCGCACGCCACCACACCCAGCTAATTTTTGTATTTTTAGTAGAGATGGGGTTTCATCATGTTGGCGGGGCTGGCCTCAAACTCCTGACCTTACATGATCCTCCCACCTCAGCCTCCCAAAGTACTGGGATTACAGGCATGAGCCACCATGCCCGGCCCAAACTATGAACTTTAAAATTGGTTCATCAGTTGTAACAAACATATCACACCTATGCAAGATGTTAATAGGGAAACTGTGTGGAGAGAAGTGCATATATGGCATCTTTCTGTGTCTTCTGCTTAATTTTCCTGTAAGTCTAAAACTGCTCTAAAAAGTGAAGTTGGTTGGGTGCAGTGGCTCACGCCTGTAATCCCAGCACTTTGGGAGGCTGAGGTGGATCACCTGAGGTCAGGAGTTCGAGACCAGCCTGGACAACATGGTGAAACCCTATCTCTACTAAAAATAAAAAAATTAGCCAGGCGTAGTGGTGTGCACCTGTAATCACAGCTACTTGGGAGGGTGAGGCAGGAGAATCGCTTGAAGCCCAGAGGGGTAGGTTCGGTGAGCTGATATCATGCCACTGCACTCCAACCTGAGAGACAAGAGTGAGACTCCGTCTCAAAAAAAAAAAAAAAGAAAAAAGAAAAAGGTTAAGTCTATTAAGTTAAACCTATACACACACACACACACACATATAAGTATATAGAAAGCAGTGAGTGACTGGCAAAATGTAAAACAAATAGTGAAAAGAATATCTGGGATTTTTCTTTCTTTTTTTTTTTTTTTCTGAGACAGTGTCTTGCTCTGTCACCCAGGTTGGAGTGCAGTGAGGCTATCTTGGCTAACTGCAAGCTCCGCCTCCTGGGTTCATGCCATTCTCCTGCCTCAGCCTCCCGAGTAGCTGGGACTACAGGTGCCTGCCACCACGCCTGACTAATTTTTTGTATTTTTAGTAGAGATGGGGTTTCTCTGTGTCAGCCAGGATGGTCTCGATCTCCTGACCTTGTGATCCACCCGCCTTGCTCTCCCAAAGTGCTGGGATTACAGGCATGAGCCACCGCGCCTGGCCTCTTTTTTTTTTTTTTTTTAAATATTTTTACCTTGTTTACGAAGAAGAACTTTTTTTTTTTTTTGAGACGGAGTTCTGCTCTGTCTCCCAGGCTGGAGTGCAGTGGCATGATCTCAGCTCTCTGCAACCTCTGCCTCCCAGGTTCAAGCAATTCTCATGCCTTAGCCTTCTGAGTAGCTGGGATTACAGACACCCACTACCATTCCTGGCTAATGTTTTTTGTTTTCTTTTTTTTTTTTTTTTTTTTCATATTTTTAGTAGAGGCAGGGTTTCATCATGTTGGCCAGTCTGGTCTCAAACTCCTGACCTCAGGTGATCTGATCCACCTGCCTCAGCCTCCCAAAGTGCCGGGATTACAGGCGTAAGCCACCTCACCGGATCTATTTGGGATTTTTTAAATGTCTTGTGTTAAAGATAAAATTTAGAAAGTCTTCATTTCATTCTTGTTAGTGTAGCAAGAAATTTCTTTCTTTTTTCTTTTTTTCCTTGAGACGGAATCTTGCTCTGTTGCCAGGCCTGGAGTGCAGTGGCATGATCTTGGCTCACTGCAATCTCCTCCTCCTGTGTTCAAGCAATTCTCCTGCCTCAGCCTCCCGAGTAGCTGGGACTACAGGCACCCGCCACCACGCCCAGCTAATTTTTGTATTTTTAATAGAGGCGGGGTTTCACCATGTTGGACAGGATGGTCTCCATCTCTTGACCTCTTGATCTGCCCACCTTGGCCTCCCAAAGTGCTGGGATTACAGGCATGAGCCACTGCACCTGGCCAAGACATTCCTTTAAAAAAAATTTTTTTTAAAGGAAATTTATTTTTGAGAAATGCTTGGGAAAAGAACATTTGATTTTATCTATTTTGTTTCACAATATGGTAAGCAGAATTGCAATGTTGTGTGCTATCTACAGATTATTTAGTAAGACATTGTCTGTCTGTGAGGGACATTGGTCTCATCCAGAAAAATGTCTTAGCCAAGATGTGTGGGTCATGTCCTAACCCTGTATAGCTCTGTGCTGCTTGCTGCCCCCTGCTGTCCTTGTCCTCTTGCTGAAATGAGGTAGGGCAAAGGACATAGGTCAATTAAATGCCCTCTTAACGCAGCCTTTCTTCAAATACTTGCGGCTGTCCTGTTGTCCCACAGGTGTAGAGAAGGCACGGGCTTTCCAGGAACTATGTAGTAAACAGTACCCAAATGGGCTGCAAGGGGTGTCAGGCCCCTTGATGGGGCTTGGAGAACGTCTCTGTGATCAACTTGTACCAGTTATTTGTATTTTTTTTAAGGTCAAATACATTCTTAAGTGATTTGCCGGACAGTGAGTATAGTTCTGAAGTTGAGTTCTAAATCTTGGAACACATTCATTTCCTTTCCTCTTTTGAGATTGTATTACTCACTTCTTGTTTTTTGGCTACAAATGTGCTGGGATTACAGGCGTGAGCCACTGTGCCAGCCACATTTTTTTCTTTTTATTGGGAAGGCATCTCAATATGTTGCCCAGGTTAGTCTTGAACTCGTGGCCTCAAGCAGTCCTCCTACCTTGCCTCCCAAACTGCTGCGACTGCAGACGTGGTGGCTCACGCCAGGCTAAGGGTTCAGAGAAAAAAGCATATCATCAAAATAGATCTGCAGAAGCAAATCAAGTATGTATCCTACTAATCGACTGTGTTTATGAATGCAGGCCCGTGTACTCTTGAACCTGCTTGCTGCTTTAAAGCAGGGCTTCTCGAATATAGCCAGTATTTGGATTGTCTGGAGATCTTGTTTAAAATGCAGATTCTGATGAGTAGGACCTGAGATTCTGCATCTTTGTCAATTCCCAGCTGATGCTAACACTGTTGGAGAAAGACTACACTTTGCACAGTTAAGGGTCTAAAGGTCAGAAAGTGTGAACTTGTTTTATCATTTTATTTTATTTAATTTTTTGAGATGGAGTTTCACTCTTGTTGCCCAGGCTGGAGTGCAATGGCGCGATCTTGGCTCACTGCAACCTCCACCTCCCAGGTTCAAGCAATTCTCCTGCCTCAGCCTCCCGAGTACCTGGGTTTACAGGCATGTGCCACCCCGCCCAGCTAATTTTGTATTTTTAGTAGACAGGGTTTCTCCATGTTGGTCAGGCTGGTCTCGAACTCCTGACCTCAGGTGATCCACCTGCCTACGCCTCCCAAAGTGCTGGGATTACAGGCATGCGCCACCGTGCCTGGCCAGAAAGTGTGAATTTAAATACAACATCACTCAACAAAGTGCTAGGAGGACTGTCAGCTTTAGAGAGGATAGCACCAAATACACATCCTAGTTATCTCTTGGAAGAGAATGCCCCTAACCCAATTTATGTTTACTAATTATCTGAAAAGTCAAAAATACTGACACTGAGACATCTTTCTCTTTACATCTAAGTGATATTCAGTGTAATTATTACTTTATAGGAACATGCCTTTTGTCAGATTTTGCTTGAGTTCTTTCATTTAGACAGAGAAAGGCACAAACTAGGGGAATTTTTTTTTTTAACCTCAGTGTTCTGTGAATGGGAAACTGAGACTAAGGCTGGTGACCAGGTGACTGGGCACATGTGATCACAGAGGGTGCTCTGTCATGGCAGGAAATGGCATGCCACTGCTAAAGGGACTGTATCACCAACACTGTGTGTGGGTTTTTATTTATTTATTTATTTTTTTGAGACAGAGTTTCGCTCTCGCTGCCCAAGCTGGAGTGCAATAGTGCGATCTCAGCTCACTGCAACCTCCGCATCCCAGGTTCAAGCGATTCTCCTGCCTCAGCCTCCTGAGTAGCTGGGATGACAGGTGGGCGCCACCATGCCCGGCTAATTTTTTGTATTTTTAGTAGAAACAGGGTTTCACCATGTTAGCCAGGCTGGTCTTCAACTCCTGACCTTAGGTGATCCACCCATCTCGGCCTTCCAAGGTGCTGGGGTTACAGGCATGAGCCACTGTACCAGGTCGTTTTTAAAAATTTTTTAAAAATAGAGGTAGGGTCTCACTATATTGCCCAGGCTGGTCTTGAACTCCTGGGCTCAAGTGATCTGCCAGCCTCGGCCTCCCAAAGTTCTGGGATTACATGTGTCAGCCACTACACCCGGCTTACTGTGCTTTTGTTGTTGTTGTTGTTGTTTCAGTTTTTTTTTTTTTTTAGATGGAATTTCACTCTTGTCGTCCAGGCTAGAGTGCAGTTGTGCGACCTGAGCTCGCTGCAGCCTCCACCTCCTGGATTCAAGCAATTCTCTGGCCTCAGCCTCCTGAGTAGCTGGGTTTACAGGCACCTGCTATCATTCTCGGCTAATTTTTGTATTTTTAGTAGAGACGGGATTTCACCAATGTTGGCCAGGCTGGTCTCAAACTCCTGACCTCAGGTGATCTGCCTGCCTTGGCCTCCCAAAGTTCTGGGATTACAGGTGTGAGCCACCGCACCCAGCCTCCTGTGTGTTTTTAGATGGGAGTTTTCGCTCCTAGAAGCTCAGGGAAGATGAGCTGATGGCACCAGAATAGAGCTCTCCCATCCTCAAGGAGAGGACTGATTAAAAGTCAGAGTCCAACGAGCAATGCCCAGGCTGAGTGCTGGGCACATGACAGAAGCTGTATTCTCCATAGAGCAGCTTCCGTGCCGGGCGGGGAACGCTGGAGTACCAAACTGCCTTTTTAGTCACTATGAAATTTTGTTTTTAGTTTCACACATTTTCCAAAATAACTAGTTCTCTTTCTTGTTTTGCAGAGGAGTTGTTTCCATGGTCATTTTGAAAATGACAGAAACCCAAGCTGGAGAATACCTACTTTTTATTCAGAGCGAAGCTACCAATTACACAATATTGTTTACAGTGAGTATAAGAAGTAAGTCCAGCCTGCTACTAGCATTCCAGCCTGGAATACCACAGTATTTCAAAGGAGTGATTTAGAACCCGTTAGCTTGACCAGCTCCTCTAGACATATTCATGTTTCCCTCGATACATCGTTGGATTGATTAGATTCCCGTCAACCCTCTGTAGAACCTATAGAGAACTGAGAATCACTGATGAATCACTGATGTGTGCCATGGACTCTCAGAATGTGACTGCTGCTAAAAACACCTGGGACATCCTCTGTTCAGTAGCAGATGGCTGACAGGGAAGAAATGGGAAACATTTTGACCTTGGAATCAGAAGACCTCGGTTCTGATTCTGGTTCTGATACTACTACCTATGGCAGGTCACAATTTCTCTGAGCCCCAATTCCCTTGTTGGTGAAATGAGGATAAAAATACATACCTCACAGGATTGGAAAGTCTCAGCATGATCCAATAGAACTTTCTGAGATGATGAAAATGATCTTTGTCTGCTCTTTCCAATACAGTAGCCACTGGCCACATGGGGCTGTTGAACACTTGAAATGTGGCTAAGGTGACTGAGGAACTAAAGTTTCCATTTCATTTAGTTTTAATTCATTAAAATTGAAATTGAAATAGCCCCATGCAGCTAGGGGCTACTGTGTTGGACAGCGCAGGCCCACACGCACGCCAGACCATATGCAAACTGTAAGGAACAGTCCAAATAGTCTTACCAAGGGAGGCAGCTGTGCGGTTGGCAGAGGCACCACCTGCATGTGCTTTCTGGCTTCTCCTTGTTTCGTCCCCATCATGCACAGACTCAGTGCTATGCACACTGACTTGCTGCTTCACCTTCCATGACCAAGAAGGACTAAAGGTGGCTGCATTCATTCAGGTCCTCGTGCCTTTAGGGGCCAGTGCAGTGCTCCAAAAACCCTGGGTTAATATCACTTAGAATTAGCTTCCCTCCCACACATTGACACAACTTGCCAGGCTGCCCTCTTCCTTGTCAGTGACTCAAGTGCACAAAGCGTGTGTGTCCGGCCCACGCAGGTGCCCTGGGTCAGGAATAAGCACAACTGCCCTTTGCTGAGGATCTTCTGCCTATAACATCTCAGATGCTCGCAGCGATCCTGCGTGCATGTAGATGAGAAAACAAACCCTCTGAGAGGCGTGGTGGTGGGCACAGCTGGAGGCTTTCTGCACCACACTGCCCTGGGTCTTGTGTGAAAGAAAGTGTGTGGGTCCTGCTGTCAAAGCTACTAACAGAAGAGAGCACTCGAGATTCCCAGAAGTGTCATCTTACTGGGGTTGGGGGTAGGGTAAGGTTCGAAAGTCAGCCTGTAAGGTATACATTAGCTAAAGTCAAAATTACTCAAAATTTGTTCTGGAAAGTCCTTTAATTACTCTGAAAATGATAGGACCAGAGTCCTACAAGCTCCAAAGCCAAGAATCACCTTTCGTTGCTCTTTGATGTTGGTCTTGTTCCCTGCCCCCTTTCTAGTCCCTCACCGCTTCTGTGGGCCAGTCAATACATACATGCCCCAGGTTGGATGAAGCGAGGACATTTCTTGCTCTCCCTCTCTTCCTCTTTCTCTTTTTCTCTCCTTTTTAAATTTTCTTGCCAACTATAAATAGTGGTATAAGGTAAGTGGACATCTGCTGTGTCTCTGTTATACTCAGGGTATATTCCTTTCACTTAAGATTCACCGTGTAAAAATGTAACAACAATTATTCAAGAAAATTATAACTTATTTTTAGCATTCTGCAAGGTGGTGGGGTCCAAAAAATAGGTGGGAGAGACGTGGCAACAGTCAGTGTGAAAAAGAGGAAAGGGTTTAGTCAACCACAAGCTCAGTATTAACCACCAGCAGGGCATGGTTGCCAAAAAAAGTAAATTTGAACCTTGGCAGTGTTCATGAAAATATAACGTCTAAATTAAGGAAATTAATGGAAGGCTATTCATTTCAGTTCTTCTTTTTTTTTTTAGATGAATACTGACAAAATGGAGCCACCAGGATAGTGGAAAATTTGGAATTCTTTAAATTAGGAGCAGTTGAAGGAATTGGGAATGTGTAGTATATAGAAGGAAATATTTTGAAGACACAATAAGGTTGATTGCAGTGTAATACAGAGGAAATTCTTTTAGGATTTGGGTCAGGAAACCTGAGCTAACTAGTTAAAGTACCTTGTATGGTAATTATCTCCCTTGATATCAGTTTCTAATTTTAAATATTTGAAGGATTTTCATATGGAATCAAAGCTAGACTTTTAAAAAGTTGCTCTAGGCCGGGCGCGGTGGCTCAAGCCTGTAATCCCAGCGCTTTGGGAGGCCGAGACGGGCGGATCACGAGGTCAGGAGATCAAGACCATCCTGGCTAACCCGGTGAAACCCCGTCTCTAGTAAAAAATACAAAAAAATAGCCGGGGGAGGTGGCGGGCGCCTGTAGTCCCAGCTACTCGGGAGGCTGAGGCAGGAGAATGGCGTAAACCCGGGAGGCGGAGCTTGCAGTGAGCTGAGATCCGGCCACTGCACTCCAGCCTGGGCGACAGAGCGAGACTCCGTCTCAAAAAAAAAAAAAAAAAAAAAAAGAAATTACAGGGAGAAAAAGTAAAAATCACCACAAGATGGGAAAAGTTACTTGCAGTTCACAATCAACAAAGGATTAATAGTCATAATATGTAAAGTCAATAAGAGAAACAATCTCTGTAAGTCAGTAAGTCAATAAGAAAAACAAAGCAAAATGAAAACCTGTAGAGAAATGAACAAAGGACATGAGTAGGCATTTCATTTTTGGGACATGAAACCTAAATGGTCAAGAAACATGTGAAAAGATATACTTAGGCACGTTAAAGTTGTAAAGAGTATATTTGAGCAGAAAGCAATTCATGAATCGGGCAGTGCCAGATGGTAAGCAGGTGGGCTCCCGTCAGGGGATTCAAGGGTAAGACTTCTTTCTAGAAGGTGTTCCTGGAGGCAAGACAAAGAAAAGATATGATTGGTTAAGGAAGGGCAGTCCCTCGTTTGGTCAGTCTGCAGTTCCTCATTGATTAAGCTAAGTGGCATTTTGCTGCTCATATTGAATTGGGTTTGTTTTTTGCTTTTTGTTGTTGTTTTTGTAGAGACAGGGTTTTGGCATGTTACCTAGGCTGGTCTCCAACTCCTGGGCTTAAGCGATCCTCCTGCCTCACCCTCCCTAAGTGCTGGGATTACAGGCATGAGCCACCGTGCCCGGCCTTTATTCTTTCCCTTTTTTTTTTTTTTTTTAAGTTGAGTTTTGATTTGTTTACATAGGAACTCAAGCTATTAGAGCTGTCTCAGCCTAATGGCCTTCCAAGTAATTATTTTAACACATGTTAAATTAATAATGGATAAATTAAATTAAGACCACAATGAAATACCATTTTATACCTGCTAGATTGTTGAAAATTAAGAAGTCTTGGTACGTATCCAAAGCAATAGGTGCTCTCATCTCCTGGTGTGTAACATAAATTAGTATAACCACTTTGGAAAACAAATGGTCATTATGTGTAAGGCTGAATGTGCTCATACCATGTAGACCAGCAGTTCCCCTCTTAGGTATGTTATTAAGGAAACTGTTATACACATGCCTCAGTACAAATGTGTGGAATGTTCAGAGCACATGGTTGATCATACAAAAAACTATGGCCGGGTGTGGTGGCTTATACCTCTAATCCAAGCACTTTGGGAGGCTGAGGCAGGAAGATCACTTGAGCCTGGGAGGTTGAGGCTGTAGTGAGCTGAGATTGCACCACTGCACTCCAGCCTGGGTGACAGAGACCCTGTCTCACACACACACACAGAAGGAAACAACCCAAATGTCTACTGCAAGAAAATGAAAAAACAATGATATATATACCAATAGAATATGATGTAGCAGTAAAAAAAAATGAATAAAGTATAGCTACATGTAAAACCATGGATGAATGTTAAAAACATAAGGTTGGATGAAAAAATGAAGTTGTGGAAGCTGCATATTGATTGATAACACTGTTTTGAAGCTCAAGAATGAAATAAATCAGTATATCATTTAGCACCACATATTTATGTGGTATAACTACTTTGAAGAGTCTCCGAATAATAAACAAAATTCAGGATAAAGGCCTTGTACAGTTGAGAGATGGGGAGAAGCACAAAAGTAGATCAAAAGGTATTTATTAATATTCTAGTTATTAGGTGGATAGTGGCTCCGTGGGTATTTGTTGTTATTATGCTTTGAAATTTACACTCCCTATATTCTTTCATATATATATGAAAGAATATATAATATTTTCAAGCAAAATTTATTGTAAGGAGAGAGGCTAGAATTCAGTATAGGGAAACTTTCCTTAAAAAAAAAAAAAGTTTGTCAGAAATTAGAATGACCTGCCCCAGAAGGTCATGAACTCCAGTCCCTAGAAGAGCCAAAGTAGTAGAAAGTTTATGTTAGAAATAGCTGGGAGTGAAGGATGGTGTGTGTGTGTGTGTGTGTGTGTGTGTGTGTGTGTATGTGTGTGATGATCCATGGGAGTGAGAGGCTCAACTAAACCTCTTAAGTTCTGTTGCAATTCCAACTCCACCCTACCATGTTTCTTCTGGCTTTCTGAATCTTAGTGTATTTCTGACTAGTTGCAGATCAAATTATAGGAAGAAAGTTGAGGTCTAAACTATGCGTTAAACAAGGGTTTAAGCCATATGTTATTGCTAATTTCCTTTTTCCTGTGCCTATCAATATTTGTATTTTCACATGGCTTCACTCGACTACTTTAGTTAGCTGTGGATTTATGAAATACCCAGAGAAATTGGCCAAGAGGATAAATGTTAAAGTTGACACTGCAGCCAGAGCTAAATTTAATATAGTGGTTGGTTTTCTTTTGATGCCTTTAGTATTAAAAAAAAGAAAAAAATCTGTATATGTAATGGTTGGCGGGGATGCAGAAGACACTGCTATGGTATAAAATACGAACTTTTCTTAATGACATAGAATCCTTTTTTGAGGGGCTGCTAAGATAATTATTTTTAAAATAGTAAAATGTTAATAACTTATGATGCTTTAGATACCCTGCTTTACACATTAAGAAGACCTTACTTTAGAAAAATGGAAAACCAGGACGCCCTGGTCTGCATATCTGAGAGCGTTCCAGAGCCGATCGTGGAATGGGTGCTTTGCGATTCACAGGGGGAAAGGTATGACACATCCGTGGTAGCCGCTATTCTTGTAATTTCCTTTTGGCTTTTTTCTAATGTAGTTGACATCAAGCTGTATGTAAAATTTAATTTATGCTCATTGAAACAGGAAACTCTGGCTTCTTAAAGTTAAAAAATGACCAGTATAGGGCCGGGTGAAGTGGCTCACGCCTGTAATCCCAGCATTTGGGAGGCCAAGATCACTTGAGGTCAGGAATTTGAGACCAGCCTGGCCAACATGGTGAAACCCCATCTCTACTAAAAATACAAAAAATTAACCAGGTGTGGTGGCAGACGCGTATAATACCAGCTACTCTGGAGGCTGAGGCAGGAGAATCTCTTGAACCTGGGAGGCAGAGGTTGCAGTGAGCCAAGATCATGCCATTGCACTCCAGCCTGGGCAACCAGAGCAAAACTCCGTCTCAAAAAAAAAGAAAAAATTAAATAAATAAAATAAAATAAAATAAATAATACAGAATGGCCAGTGTACAGGGAGGACAAGGAATTTTTTGGTAAGGGGCTTTTTGGAGCCCCTGAAATCAACTGCAGGACCCTTCCTGGGCATCATAGTACACAAGTAAAAGTCCCTCTACGTTCCAGGATTGTTGGCTCCCTGGGCATCTGGTTGGGGCAAAAAGAAAGATACTGATTTTAAAGTACAATTCTCTTATAAGTATGAAATTCTAGGCCGGGCACAGTGGCTCACGCCTGTAATCCCAGCACTTTGGGAGGCCGAGGCCGGAGGATCACGAGGTCAGGAGATCGAGACCATCCTGGCTAACACGGTGAAACCCCATCTCTACTAAAAATACCAAAAAAATTAGCCGGGCGTGGTGGTGGGCACCTGTAGTCCCAGCTACTCAGCAGGCTGAGGCAGAAGAATGGCGTGAACCGGGGAGGCAGAGCTTGCAGTGAGCTGAGATCGCACCACTGCACTCCAGCCTGGGTGACAGAAGGAGACTCCGTCTCAAAAAAAAAAAAAAAAAAAAAAAAAAGAAAAAGGAAATTCTAGGTCGGGCACGGTGGCTTAGCCTGTAATCCCAGCACTTTGGGAGGCCAAGGCAGGCAGATCACCTGAGGTTGGGAGTTCAAGACCAGCCTGACCAACATGGTGAAACTCCGTCTTTACTAAAAATACAAAAATTAGCCAGGCGTGGTGGCGGGCATCTGTAATCCCAGCTACTCAAGAGGCTGAGGAAGGAGAATTGCTTGAACCTGGGAGGCGGAGGTGGCAGTGACCCGAGATCGTGCCATTGCACTCCAGCCTGGGTGACAGAGCGAGACTCCATCTCAAAAAAAAAAAGAGAGAGAAATTCCTTGTGACTAAATGCTCAATTTGTGATTGTCCTGTTTGTTCTGGAAAAGCAGTCTAATACGATTGTTTAAAGATATAGAATCTAGAGCCAGATAGCCTGGGTTTGAACCCTAGTTTGTTTAGCAGCTGTGTGGCCTTGGACAAGTTACTTAACCTCTCTGTGCCTCATCAGAAGAATGGGGATGACAACAAGTACTTATAAGACTGCTATGATGAGTAAATGAATTGATATATGTAAAGCACATAGAACAGTGCCTAGCCGTTAGTAAGTATGGTATAAATGTTTACGTAGTTTTTCATATATGCCAAAGCTAAGTTCTCACAAAGTAAAAATTCATGCAGTTTGAACTAATTAAAATTTACTAAACAACTTTTTTTTTTTTTCTTTTTAAATGGGACCAAATAGAAGGAGAAAAAGTACCAAATACTTTGTTCCAAAGTGGTACAAAAGTTCGCTTTCTGCTGAGGCAGGGAGAGGGGTTTTGTTCTGTTGAATACTTGGGAGTCTTGGCTGATTTCCCTTGCAGGTGACACCTTGGCCCTCCTCTGTTCCTGTGGGAACTCGGGTGACCTTTGAAACTTTAGCTTCCCCATCCCTTACTGCGTCCCCTTCAGTGCTGTGAAGAAAAGGATGCTTACCTTGCTAAACTTCATGAAAGCCCAGTCATGCTTTTTCTCTTCTCTCTTTCTTCTCTTTTTTTCCTTGATCTTCTTTCTCATTTTTTTCCTTTCTTTCCCTGTCTTTAAACAACAGCAACAAAGAGATCACCAAACATGAACAATTTTAAACTGTTTTATTATGTAATTCTCCTTAGTGTTATTCTAATTCATTGAGATAATGAGTAACTAGCCAGCTCCCTTATGAGCTCTTAGCTGAAACCATAGATTTGGGCTTGTTTACCTTTTGACCTTTTGCTTACCATTTGACCCTTAAAAATGGCTCTAGAACTTTGTTCTCCTCTTGAGCATTCATTTGTAATTTTAAAACTTGTTTAACAAAATGGTACTTATTTTCTAATTGCAGTTGTAAAGAAGAAAGTCCAGCAGTTGTTAAAAAGGAGGAGAAAGTGCTTCATGAATTATTTGGGACGGACATAAGGTGCTGTGCCAGAAATGAACTGGGCAGGGAATGCACCAGGCTGTTCACAATAGGTAACTCTATCATATCACGTACTTTCATTTTCAGTGACTATTTCTTAGCAACGATCAGGGACTAACAGTAACTGCGTAGGTGATCATTCAACTTCAGAAATCCTGTCGTTCTTTTAGGCCCCAGTAAATGCAATATTATGGATTCTGTAAATGCTGATTTATTCATAAAAGAGAAGAGTCAGTCTCTAAAAGCTTCTTTGATTAATGTGGTTAGTAATATTTGAGATGATGCTAAAGTCTTTGTTCAGAATGTTCAGGATATCCTTTGTGATGAGGCAATAATCACTTTCTTTTTTCTCACTTGGGATGTTTTCATCTCCTAGATCTAAATCAAACTCCTCAGACCACATTGCCACAATTATTTCTTAAAGTGGGGGAACCCTTATGGATAAGGTGCAAAGCTGTTCATGTGAACCATGGATTCGGGCTCACCTGGGAATTAGAAAACAAAGCACTCGAGGAGGTAAAAGGACAAGTTTGTGTTCTGAAAATGCAGGAACAATTAACTAACAGTCCGGATTGAAAACATTAAATGCAAACTCTGTTTTATTAAAACCTAGGGCAGCTACTTTGAGATGAGTACCTATTCAACAAACAGAACTATGATACGGATTCTGTTTGCTTTTGTATCATCAGTGGCAAGAAACGACACCGGATACTACACTTGTTCCTCTTCAAAGCATCCCAGTCAATCCGCTTTGGTTACCATCGTAGGTAATGCAGGCTGCTCACACAATCTGTATTCCTATTTTTAGTTGCTTTAGTGTGGAATGTGAGGTATGCGGTACAAATTCGGATTTCAATATAATGCTACTATCAAACACTAAGAAAGAAACCGAGTTAGAATAGCTTTGCAAAGATAATCTGCTCACCCTCTTCCTTTTCCCGTGAAACCAGGCCCGCTTGAATGCCACTGTGTTTGCACATAACACTTTGTAATATGACCATCTGTTTGTGTGCTTTTATCCCCCAGTAGACTGTAAGTTTCCTAAGGACAAGGACAATTCATTCTATCCTTGTAGTTCCAGAACCTGACACAGAGCCTGACACAAAATAGAATAGAAATACTGGTTCTAAGAACCAACTAGCCTCACTGTTAGGGCAGTGAGCACTGAGAGACAGTACAAGCCCTTAGATGCCCTGAAATTTTGGTGGGGTTTGTAGGATCTGAAAATAACCACAATTCAATAATCTCAGGTTAGGGTACAGTGTTCAGCCATAATGAAAATGCTAAGAAACACAGTGATGCTCTTAGCAGATTAATAAGGAAGTGTTCCATAAGGCAACCTCGTGAATATTGCTAGCCAGATCGCTCTTTTATTTGTGCCTTGAGTTTATTTTACTCTCTCTCATCAACGAGAGAGTGGTGCTGGCTGAGAGCAGGGGCTTCCAGACTCTAAGGAGACCCCTAGTGTGTACCCGAGAGTGGGGGATCCTTTCAACCTTTGGAAATTGTCTGCAAAATCTGTAGGTTTATTTATACATTTCTCTGGGAAGACAGTCAATTATCTACATCCCATTCTTTTTGTTTCCTTCTTTCTTTTTTTAAACATTTCTTAACTTCGAAAGATAATGAGCTCAGGCTTAGAACTAGGGATAGGACTCCTGGGTTTTCACTCGGATTATCCAACCTGACCTGCAGCAGGCCAACACCTGAGTTTTCCTGTGTTAAACTGATGAATACAAGTTTATTTTATCTTCTCAATACGTTTCCATATGAATATATTAACTAACTCATAAATGTCTATTTTTTCTTACAGAAAAGGGATTTATAAATGCTACCAATTCAAGTGAAGATTATGAAATTGACCAATATGAAGAGTTTTGTTTTTCCGTCAGGTTTAAAGCCTACCCACAAATCAGATGTACATGGACCTTCTCTCGAAAATCATTTCCTTGTGAGCAAAAGGGTCTCGATGATGGATACAGGTGAGACCACAAAGGACTCTTAAGATATCATTTTTAGCATAATTCTCCTTGCTTGTTGCCCTTGAGAAGGACAGTTTTATACTTATGGAAGCAAATTCACTTATTATGAGTTTATTATTGAGTTGAAATTGGAGATGAGAAAACAATAAGCAGATGTGAGGATACAGTAGCAGTCTTACTATTGCTTTAGATAATATAACCTGCTGCATGAAAACAGAAAGAACCATATTAGTCTGGTCTAGTTTGAGTCTGGTTCTCTGGCATTTTCTGAGTCACAAGGTAGTTACTTCCTGTTTGAGAGTGCGGTGTATAGTACACTGAGTCTCCCCTAAAACATTTGCAGATGATTGAGGAAGTAAAACTCCTTAAAAACAGAAAAACATTACTCATAGGTGTATTGATTTAAATTTTCAGAAAATACATGCAGAAATAGCCCAATAATAAGAGCTGAAGGAAAATGTTGTTTTCCTCAGGATTTGTATGAGGAAACTATGCAAGATTCTTTTTTTAGGAAAAACAATTTTTCTTTTCTTTTTCTTTCTTTCTTTCTTTCTTTTTTTTTTTTCTTTGAGATGAGGTCTCACTCTGTCACCCAGGCTATAGTGCATTGGTGCAATCTTGGCTCACTGCAACCTCCACCTCCCAGGCTCAAGTGATCCTCCCATCTCAGCCTCCCAAATAGCTGGGACCACAGGTGCACACCACCACATCTGACTAATTTTTTGTATTTTTGATAGAGACATGGTTTTTCCATGTTGCACAGGCTGGTCTCGGGCTCCTGAGCTCAGGAGATTCACCCTACCTAGGTCTCCCAAAGTGCTGGGATTACAGGCATGAGCCACCGCACCCAGCCGAAAGGTTCTCTTGTGGGAGGAATTCTCCATTCCTTCTTTGGAAAACAAAAAACAAGCTTCCCCCATATCTTCTATAGTTATGACATCTCTTGTCCCTTTAAACTAATGCTATGGAACATGGTTTTGGACTAGACTATGAGAGACTGAGACGCACATGTTATCTTTCAAACAAGTCAACGGACTAGAATAAATCATCCTTTCTCAGCATGTGGTCTGTTGAACAACTAAATAAGAATCATCTGAGCAAGTGCTCAAACTGTGGATTCCTGGCTCCCATTCCAGACATGCTGACTCAAAACTGGGGCAAAATGCTCAGACTCTGCTTTTTTAATGAGAACCTTTGGTGATTCCTATCACAGGTCTAGATCTGTGCTGTCCTGTACAGTAGCCATCAACCACATGTGGATATCGAGAGCTTGAAATGTGTCTGGTCCAAATTGAGATGTACTCTAATTGTAAAATACACGCTAGATTTTGAAGACTTAGTATGAAAAAAATGTAAAATATATTATTAATAATTTTTATATTGGCTATAAAATATAAATTTTATTCTATATTTTATAAAGTAAATTTTATTTAATTTTTATAAAATTTTATTTTTTAATAAATAAAATGGGTCACACCTGTTGTAATCCCAGCACTTTATGAGGCCAAGGCGAGTGGATCGCTTGAGCCTAGGAGTTTGAGACCAGCCCAGGTAACATGACAAAATTCCATCTCCACAAAAAATACAAAAATGAGTTGAGTGTGGTGGTGTACACCTTTAGTCCCAGCTACTTGGGAGGCTGAGGTTGGAGGATTGATTGAGCTCAGGTGGTTGAGGCTGCAGTAGCTGTGATCACACCACCACACTCCAGCCTGGATGACAGAGCGAAACCCTGCCTCGAAAAGAAAAAAAAAAAAAATTAAAACAATTTTTATGTTGATTATATATTAAAATAATAGTATTTTGGATATATTGCATTCAATGAAATCTATTATTCAACTTAATTTCACCTGCTTCCTTTTACTTTATACAGCCAACAGAATTTATAAATGATATACAAGGCTTGCAGTCATGACTGACATTGTATTTCATTGGCTAGCACTGTTCCAGATGAAGAGTAGGAGTTCTTTTCACCTTGATTCTGCTAAGTGTTTGTTTCATGATTATTGTGCTACTCTTTATACCTAAAAGGGATTTGTACTAAAAGTCCCTTGTTGGGACTTTTAGAATCTCAGTGCAGGGTTTGCATGGAGTCGTCTGCCGTCTGTTACTGAAACCCCCCAATGTTCAGAGCATTCATTTTTAAGGTAATTAAGAATGCAGACTGGTCTGGGAGTTGACTGAAACACACTCCCCCAAACTCAGGGTTTGTCAACAGTGGCACTGCTGACATGTTGAGCTGGATAATTCTTTGTTGTGGAGGACTGTCCTGTGCATTGTAGGATAATTTTCAGTGTCCCTAGCCTCCTCTCACTGGATGCCAGGAGCACGTTCCCCTTTCCCAGTGTGACAATATCTCCAGACACTGCCAAATTGAGAAAAATAACCCCTGGCAATGTTTTTTGAGAACCATTGCCTTAGAGGCATCACCCCACAGTCGTCATAAGCTCTTATTCAGAAACATCAAGCTTGTTTTTTTTTTTTTTTTGAGACAGAGTCTCACTCTGTCACCCAGACTGAAGTGCAGTGGCACGATCTTGGCTCACCAAAAGCTCCTGGGTTCAAGCAATTCTCCTGCCTCAGCCTCCCAAGTAGCTGGGATTATAGGTGCACGCCACCATGCCCAGCTAATTTTTTGTATTTTAAATAGAGACGGGTTTTTTCATGTTGGCCAGGCTGGTCTTGAACTCCTGACCTCAAGTGATTCAACTGCCTCGGCCTCCCAAAGTGCTGGGATTACAGGCGTGAGCCACCGTGCCTGGCCTATCAAGCTTTTAAATGTAGAAGGTTGGGGATTCAGCCCCTCTCTACCCTAGTTGACTTGATTACCACTTGGCCTGTGTTCAGAAGGAAATGAGCGTATCACTGTCCCCTCTCTCCTTTGTATCTTATCCCCATGTTAGATAAGCTCTTAGCGTTATGGGAATCTCTTCTGAACCTGATTCAAAGAGATAAGAGGTCAATTCAATTTAGTTCAACAAATATGACTTTAATATCCTCTTGATGGGTGTGATGCTGTGAAGGGCTGCCAGAGTGAATAAGGTAATGTTGCTTTCCCTCTCCCCCTAGAATGTACACAGATTGCCACTGTGCTGGTGATACCTGGTATAACCTTTTATGATTTTACAGAATCGCCAGTTGGGGACCGTGTCACTGACATATAGGTCATGGGCCAGTAGGCTGCTTCCTGTAGCTTCATTCCGTGGCCACAATCCATACCCATGACCCCAGGTTGTTATCCTATAGAGGTAGCCAAATGAATGAATTAGGGGAGATCCTGACTCCTATAGCGTTTTGTACCTCACTCATTCTTACTTATCTGGTAACAGAGTTACCTCCTTGTATGTTGCATCTCACCAGGGAGTTTATAAACCCTAAGAATAGGTTTGCTGCCATATTTCTCTATCTTTGTACAATGCCTTGTTCAGTAAGTGTGTGTTTAATATATGAATGAATTCATCATCATATCTGGAACGCAGCTCACAGTGCAGTCTGGGCCAAAGATGAGTCAACAGCATTCTCTTCACTTCAAGGACCACACACGTGGTTCTTAGCACAACACCCAATACTCAGTGTTTATTGTATTGAAAAGTTCTTGAAGAGCTACAGTGTTTGTGCTAATAATGTGCATTGTTGGTAATAATAATGTACCAGGTGTTGTGGGCCACTGACGACACACAGCAAAGGAAAGATGGGCCCTCCTTCTTCATGAAAAAACGTGCTCAAAATACTGAACAAGAAATGAACAACACAAAATTTGAACACGCCTCTGAGTGCTCCAAATGTCTTTTTCTTTCCACACGAGGCTCTATGTTGAGATGGGGATGGCAGACTAGATTACAGTCAGGGGTCATTTACACTGTTCTTTCTTTTTACTTTTTTTTTTTTTGGACTAAGTCTCACTCTGTTGCCCAGGCTGGAGTGCGGTGGTGTGATCTTGGCTCACTGCAACTTCTGTCTCCCGGGTTCAGGTGATTCTCCTGCCTCAGCCTCCGTAATAGCTGAGATTACAGGCATGAGCCACCCTGCCCAGTGAATTTTTTTGTATTTTTAGTAGAGACGGGGTTTCGCCATGTTGGCCAGGCTGGTCTTGAACTCCTGACCTCAAATGATACGCCCACCTTGGCCTCCCAAAGTGCTGGGATTACAGGTGTGAACCAGCACACCCGGCCCTTCTTTTCGCTTTTTTTTTTTGAGACGGAGTCTTGCTCTGTCGCCCAGGCTAGAATGCAGTGGCTCAATCTTGGCTTCCTGCAACCTCCGCCTTCCAGGTTTAAGTGATTCTCCTGCTTCAGCCTCTTGAGTAGCTGGGATTACAGGCATGCACTACCCTGCCTGGCTAATTTTTGTATTTTGAGTAGAGACGGCGTTTCACCATCTTGGTCAGGCTGGTCTCGAACTCCTGACCTCGTGATCCACCCGCCTCAGCCTCGCAAAGTGCTGGGATTACGGCCATGAGCCACCTTGCCTAGCTTCTTTTTGCTTTTTAGAGTCAGGGTCTTGCTATGTTGCCCAGGTTGGATTCTAACTCCTGGGCTCACGTGATCCTCCTGCCTTAGCCTCCTGAGTAGCTGCAGCTTGGCGTGTGCCACTGCACCTGTCTTTCCTTTTGACTTTTTATTATAGAAAGTTTCAAATGTACTAGTAAGTTGAAATAATAGTGCGTGAGCATTCTTTACCTACCACCTAGATTCAACAATTTAATTGAGCCGAATTTGGTTTGTGAAGTACTGTATTTTAGTCATGTATCAAGATTTCATAGGCAAAGTGATACAACTTTAAAAAAATCTGTAACTGAAAGGGCCCTGTAATAACAGTACCCCTGAAAAAACTTTGGTGTGGTCATGGTATGTGCACCAGAAATCTCTCGGCTTCCCCACTTTCACGGCTTCATTTCTCCAATTTACTTCCTCAAATACGACGCCAAAGTTTACTAGGGCTTGCCTTTATATGTTTACATTTTATTAAATTATAACTTTCTAGCCATCCTGGTGTCCTGG